ATGAAGGCAGATGTAATGAATACGACAAATATTGCCGAGAGTTAAAGGATGTTTCTTGAGAAAAATTATTCCGGCAATAAGAATTGGAAATTGTGGAGCATTTTACGGGTATTTCAGTGATTCCAGTGTAATATGACTGATATCTGGAATTCCGGAGTATAATATGATATGATCCAAAGCTTTCCCACTTTCAGTGATGACGGATAGTCATTGTTGATCATACATAGATGCATGTTCACTAAATACCCATATAAGTTAGCAGAACGTTTAACTCAAATGGGAAAATCGAGAACACGCAATGAATTTGAGTCATTCACTTCACCATGGGTCTGCTAGAGTTGTTGAGACTCATAAGAGAGGAATGGCTTTGTGTCATTGTTGTTTACTGTTATAAGCAAATATGAATATGTATTCGCCCTATTTTATGAACACATTTGGAGCAGCTATAATCATAATCAATACAATACGATCACTTGAATTGTATGGAAGCCGACTGAATAGATCACAACTTTGTGTACCATACGAGATGTGTGTATGTACACCAAAAAGGAAATAAGTAAAATTTGAATACAATAGCGGTATGCAATGCAGCTGCAAGCTTGTGCGAAAGGATACGCAAAAGTACAGAAATTTATATGCAATGTTACATGAATTGATGAATTGTTGTATTGTTAATTGATGCAGATGAATATGCTCTCATGATTCGCAAACAAGCTCGAATCCATGATCAAATTGAGGATATTAGCTTGTATGACATATGGTTCAAANACACTTGTGGTTGCCATGTTCAATCGTAAGAGGTATTTCGCCTCGTCGAAACTGTTCGTGAAATTCTTCATGAAATTGAAGCAACCGTGTTGCATGGTTGATTAGTAGAGCATGTGTAAGAAAGCATCGTTTTGAAGCGTTCACGATCAGACCGTGCTTGGTGGACTTGGTTAACGTAGCGAAGCCAACGTAGTTAATGATAATTGAGGGAAGCACGATCTCGCCTGCCTGAAAGGCATACAAGTTCTTTAAATTCGACCAGAACTACATGCTTGAAGAGTTAACATCTCTCTCGTAAACTGCAGTCTTAGAATTGCAAACAGAAGCGAACCATCCAGTGTCAGTATTGGTCATCCGTTGGAATTTCTCAGTAACCGCAAAATATGCAGGTTCATCTCATGCAGAAGAATTTCTTTGTGAAGAAATGTTATGTTTCAAGCGAGAAAAATTTCAATTTCCCCAGATACAGCCATAAAAGGATCAAACATACATCAGCATGATCAAATTGATATTGAGTGCGTTGACCACATATTGATACATCAGATGAAGAACAACTTCTTGTTTAGGAGATGTGTATATCCTGGTAAAGGGAGTTTTTAGCTCCTCCTGTTATACCTAGCTGCTGAGCAAATTCAGTGCTATTTTAGATCGGCAACTGCTATGAAATAGGTATTTCGAATTTCGTTTCAGTGATCATAAGACTTTCACTTGAACTACAATTGAAAGAAGTGTAAGGGAACGGTTCTGATGGTTCAGCATGAGAGTGAAGGAAAGGAATAAACTATCCAGGCATAGTGGAAATTCGAAGAAATGAATCTGAATTCAGCATGACTGTTTTGATTGTGATCGATTTCCCTTTTTCTGAACTCGTAAACCCCTTAGAAATCGCAATCTTTATGTAAATAACATTTGCAAATTGAAGAATCCAAGAATTAAAATGAACATTTGAGAAAAATGAGTGCTTATTAGTTAAATTTAGTGGAGATTTTTATTGAAATGCATTTTTCTGCACTCCTCATTACTATCACAGCCATAGTGCATAATTCAGATCAAACGTAAGCACGTACGCATTTTATTTTCTCATTTAACGACGTCAACTTTTACAACGCACTCATTTGACGACTTCAACACAATAAGCTTCGTAATCAGCAGTTTCGGTTGACGTTGAAGCCAAAAAATGTGATAACAGACAATTAGCTTTTTCCAATCAGCAATCAAATGAGCACCTTTTGTGCTTTTCAACAAACATGATAATAACCGTTTCTTGTAGTTTATCTTTGTTCTCAATAAGTCTTGCAGCCTATCTGTATTCAAAGATAATTCCCTAAATAATGTCAATTCAATCGATCGTCAATATTAGTGACGATCGGTTTATCTTACAGCATTTGAAGTTCTAAAGTTATATATTATTAACTACTAGAGGTTTTGAAAAATGCTCAGTCTCGTATTGAGAATGTGGCCCAGAGCTAAGTCTAATAATTTTTGATGTCACAAGATTCCCGGTCTGATAATATTTTTGTCAATTACTATCAAACAAAAATCATTGTTCAAAACAGAAAAAAGCTATGGACATTGAACTTTTCAACTCAAAAAGAAACAGTAGGGTGTTTTATTACCTATCGATAAATTATAATCACAGCTATTTTTGTGATACCGGTAATCAAATACAATTATCTGCAGGTGGCATTGATAAGGATAAGAGCACGTACTGATAGTTATGATCATGTCTAATTCGTTGCTTCATTTTGCAGTAAAACGCAACAAAAGATTTGTTGCTTGCTACAAAGCGAAGTTCATACTATATCAAAAAATAGCGCTGATAGCTACCTTCATGCTTCATGTCATTTTAAACAGTACTTCCAACATTCCCCACCCATAATTTCAACTCGTAATCTTCGGTATATTACGTGCATTGCCATCGTAACTCTTCTATTAACTTATTCACATCTCCCATTTTGTTCTCGTTAAAATTGTGTCTGCGGCTGAGCATCATGCAATCCTTTCCTGCAATATTGTGGTTGTTTTGCACGTTGCAAAATGTTGATTCGTCACGAATTCTGTTTGTTGTGATGCATTCATCAAGAAGTCACATCGGAAGTATGTTACCAATGGCTATGACGTAAGTTTAAAATCAAATCATCAGAAATTATTGTGAGGAGGAACCATCGAATAATCAAATTTTTCAAATAAACCGTTTGCCTTATTCGTTGTCAGGTCTCCGATTTCGCACTTTTTTTTTAAACTTTTGAAATTTGAAACATTTTGATCGCATGGAAATGTTGAATGCCTGATTTCATTCTACTACCGTCCAGTGGCGTTGCATAAATATTGATTAAAGCATGTGCAAAATTCTCATCAAAGTCGATCAGGATAGATCGCACAGCAATCGAAAGAAATATATGAATAAGTGATGCTAAGTGACACTAATTTCATACAACTGTTATGGTCAAGGAAGGCGTAAATTCACAGAAAGTCAGCAAATACTTGAAGGGTGTTCAGTAGGCTCGCAATCTAACCCTGAATGTAGCCGGTAAATTGCAGACTATCAGAAGCCGGTCACGATGTACATTTCATGCAAACCACACAATTCGATGAACCTTTCAAATTCCCTGGTTCAATCAAGAATCACTTTATCAAGGTGAATATCTCTCATGTCGTCCACCTGCAAGAGGCTTGGCAATATCTCTACAATCCAACCGTAAGTATTACGTTTCATCATATACTTGAGCCTCAATTTAGGACGATTAATCGGGGT